GACAGGAGTTTTCAGCTAAAAAAACCACACAGTTCCCCCTGGCTTCTTGCAAAAATTAGCACCATTTCGGACAGAAATTGCAGTTACATTTTTGTGAGAAGTTGAATGATGTGAGATGATTATGCAACCTTGGAAAGAAATTACGTTCTTTCGCACGGGAAACGACAACATACGCATTTCTCCTAAAGCTGTTTTCAAACGCATCGCACAGTCTAGCTCACAGTGGTAAAAAATATACCCAACCTCTCGCGTAGCCGTACTTACAAAGAGAGAAAGAGCAAGAATGACAAATTTTCCAAAATAAAGTTTTCTTCCAAATTGATGAAAACGTCAGCATCACCAAGTAAGCTCGTAGTAGACTGAACATACGGCTGTCTTTCAAAATATGAAAGAAAGAAGTCCCTTTTTCATACTCAAAGAAAACAATAATTCATTTTCTTCTTTCATACGCAAGTTACAGAGTTATCATAATTTGATGGGTAGGTAAGTTTCAGATGCTGAATCGACCAAAGGATCTATTCCCGAGCTGGCTTGCTCTGCCCAAGAGAGAAGAAGTAATTGGGGGAAATTTGTTTCATGGGAAGTCGAGGAAAACGAAGCCATTGTATTAAGAAAGAGTAATAAAGAAAGGAGACAATAAGGAAAATGTAAGCGTAAAATCAGTTTCGGAGCTTGTTTCCTGATACAGCACGGCGAATGGCAACCGCGAGTTTATGGGTAGGGGGAAGGGGTCGAAAAGGGCATAAAGATATTTAGGATGAAAACTAAGTGAGGAGCAGTGGCGGGGCGGGAATGATCGTTTATCGATATTTCCCCATTCGAAGCCATGGTGAAAAATCGATTATTTAAGTGTTCGCTGCAAACACCCTCTTTATCGATTCTTTTCCATAGGTTAAAATGGCAGATCAATCGATATATCAAAGCACGTCACGCCACTGGTGAGGAGAAAATAATAAATTCAAATCGGCGTCATTAAGTTTAGAGAGTTCCAAGAGGACATTCTGATAAATTGATAGGTATAGGTCTGGAGACTTAAACCTAAACGCAGCGATAGAAAAGTAAGACAGCGTCAGAATTGCCTTTTCGTTGCCGAGGCCTGAGTAACGCCCAATTTCCCCGGTTGTTAACGCGTGGACAAACGAAAATAAAGAATCTCTCTATAAAAACTTTTACATTTTCAAACTTTGAGAATATAAACAACAGGATTTGACAAGTTGGAAGCTCAAGCTCAAAGTCACATCAACTGCTCTACCGTGTTATCTTTTACTTATCGGGAAATGCTCTCAGCTAGAGGATTATTGCGGGGACTGTACACTATTCAGGACGAGGGAAGCTGTCTAATATTAGAAGCCTTATGATAACAAACCACGAAATTAGAAACTATTGGATCAAACGTCAATTTGGAAAATAGTTAATGAAGAATTGGTTCGGAGGAAGAGGAACAATTTTAGGTCAATGCAGGCTATGATTCAGTAGTTATTCTTTCAAGTTGACTATCATTTATTAATTGCATTATACTCAATCAAGCCATTGAAATCGATGGGTATGGATTACTTCACACGCATTTACAAGGGCAATGCACAATGTTGCGCTCTTTCCGAATCGCCACTGCCTTATTAAAATTAGTGTAGAAATAACCTACACATTAACTGTGTTGAGTCTCCATGACTCAAGACCGAGAGTTTGAACTAATTTCCACTCATGTACTACTGATATTTCAGAATAAGAGGAGATTAAGCGATGAGGAACAAACTAGATCTTGATTTTTTAAATGTAAAGGGGAAATTGTTGAACGTAGCAAGAAAGAGGGGAAAAAGCAAATGTGAGAGAATCGAAAGGGATCGACAGCCGCACTGCGAGGTGCTCCGCGAAAAAATGGAGGGAGACCCTCGTAATAACTCGATTAAGATCTTGGAGGAGCTGAGCGGTGGGCAGGTAATTGATATTTTGTCGGATCTGCCAACAAGGCGACACATACGGCGCGGTAAGAGGGCGACAAGCGAAAAATCCGTTCTCACCCTCACGAGTGGGCCCGAGTGTTGGAAGCACAGAGCTCAGCCAAGGAACAAAAGTTAATAAATAGAATGGCATTTCAGCCAGGTAAATAAAAAGTGGCGAGCCGGAATGTTAAGAAAGAAGATAGGATTAGGGAGGTAAATTAACCAAAGAACAATAACAATTTTATACGATTGACGGGAAAGGCGATGAAAAGAAACAACGGAGAGGGGGAGTGACAAAGAGGGGGAGCGTGCCGGGCCAAGGAGGAAGGGGGAAAAATGCAAAGAAGAAAGGAAGAGGAATGCGATCGCAGGGAAGGGAGACGGATCATGCACGGAGGGGAGGGGAGGGCTGGGAGAGGCGCACGAGAAATAAAAGAGAAACAACCGTTTTCAGGCGAGCGGCAAAGGGCAGGAGGGGAAGAGACGAGAACATAGGTTAGAGAAGCACCAATAAACAGAACAACTCAACAACATTCACAAATGTGCAACTGGAAAGTAAGGGGCGGAGGTCTGCGGCGCGCGCGCGCGCGAGCAGTGTCGCCGAGGGCGCGGGGGTGCGGGGGGCTTCTCGCTTCCCGGACTCCCTCTTCGCGGACCACGTTCGTCGCAGGGCCCAGTGCGTCCTGGTCGCCCGACCGCGCTCAAGGTGCGCCACTCGCCCCGAAGGACCGTGTCGATAAACAATCCAGGGGAAACATGACACATACGCCGATTAGACTACTCCAAGTTTACAAATTAAAAAAAAAACACTAATTTCATCGAACCATGCACAAATCACTAATCAGCCAGCACTTTGGACAAAACCACATGCAGTTTCTTGAATTAAAATGTTGATAAAAAAAACAAAAATTGCCAACTATAAAAACTAACGAAGCGCTGGAAAGTTTGGGATGAGGTGAATATTAACGTGACCGTTATAAGATGCGATGCAAATAAACGCTGAAGGAGACCCGATTGAATGTTTAATTTAATATCGAGAAGTAGTGAAAAAGAAAAAAAAATTCACAGAGGAATTAGATTGATCAAGGCATTTTTGACGCTGTCTTACTTTTCTATCGCTGCGTTTAAGTCTCCGGACCTATACCCATCAATTTAGTAAAATGTCCTACTAGAACTTCTCAGGAGTATCAAAGCTATTTGGCCTCGGCCACGCAAAGGCAATATTGATGCTGTCTTACTTGTCTACGCTTCGTTTAAGTCTCCAGACCTAAACGTAGAATTAAAATAAATAAAAGTAAGAAATTGCTTGAAAGAAATAACGAGTGTCCTTCATGCCCACAAAATACTTCATCGTTGTCACTTAATTTTGTCAATTGGATTCTGAGGTTCATCGCTTTGGGTTTAATGCACGAAATAAAAGCACGATTTTGAGATAGATATCAGAGTCTGCAGGAATGCACTGTATTTGGAAGCATGATAATAAATTTGACGAAAGTTCATCTGTGCGATAAAGAGGACTTCGTAAAATTAGGCGAAACATCCATTATTCGTTCAAAATCATATTTGGGGGTAATTAATCATCAAGCTGATACCATAAAAACAGAATTATGTCGGGATTGAAGGTAACACCTATTATCAAACAAAGCGTTATCTCGCATTTACAATGGCACTAATGCCTTAAAAAATAATAATAAAATAAAAATAAATAAATAAATGCACCTAAACATTTAAAAATTGAATAAGGCTTTGAAGTGATAATTACTGTGATCTGGGAGCCTACTTAAGGAAACATTTAAGAGCCAATGAAAAATGATGAGGCAAATAATCTTTAAAATCGAATCGCCCGAGTGCAGGTAAGAGAATAGGATTTGACATTAATGTACGAAGTAGAGGGAACATTGTTAGAGCCCTAGTCAGTTCGAAAGTTTGCTCGGTTAAAATTATTTAGGGCAAGCTCGTTTATCAATTTTTGCAGGAACAATTAAGTGTTCAGACGTAGTAGGTATCTAATCATAATTAGTCATGCTTGAATGTCAAATACAGGCAGTGCAGACCCTTTATCTATCGTCAACCACAAGTTAAACGACTATGCGAAGTTAAATTTAAAAAACGAGAATACGTTGATACCCGCACTAACCCTCCTTTAAAGGTATTTAATTTTTCGTTATAGCTAAGTCCTGCATTGGACACAAACACACAACATTGACGTTATCAGTGACACGCCGAAAGGGATAATGTAAGAGAAAATCAACTCAAACGAGATGAAAACAGTTGATAGTAAAATCTGAATCCGCGTACTATTAAAATCAAGTATTTGGACACTTGCAACAGTTTTCCGTTGATAAAAGCTAGCGAGCACTGATTCACACTTTCACTTTAAATGGGTAACAATCCAGTCGATGAAATTTCAGGCACGTAAACAAAAATATCCATGGCGATGTTTAAAATCCGTAAATCCAGGGGTTCGATGGCACTTTCACACAGATGTAAACAAATGTCACTTATCACTTGTTATCGATTATTAACCGGCAAGAAAAGGCATCCGCTTAGGTTCCGAAACCAAAATTAAATTTAAGCTTCCGGAAAAATGAAATACCGAAATGTGAAGATCATAATTTTGAAACAAATAATTTACTTCGGCAGTTTAAAACAAGTCCAGACTATAGGAAATTTGTGATGGTTAGGGCTCAAACGCGAATCTTTAAAATATTTAATTAGAGATAAAGGAATTGCACCGATTCACGGATGACTTGACTTGACAAAAATCGAAGGATGACGGCGATCTGACACTGTAAATAAATTCACTCGGCACAATCAAATCAAAACAAACAAAGGCTTCAGAAAATGTAAACAAAGGCGGATTACGGAATTTTGATAACGCGACGCAATTTCGTTGGGGATGGGCGCGTGCGATGGAACCCAAGAATCCAATTGACGACATTCGAAGAGCGGAGATTCCTGGAAACACGTGTCGGAAATCCGGAAAATGCTAATTTCCCGGTGATAAACTGATAAGACACAACATAAACAAATGGACCAGCAGCGGTCCCCGTGGCGTACCTGTAGGAAGTATATCCAAGCATTTGTAAATCAAAAACATGAAACTAATTTTTCACAAGTTCACACAAACCGAAAATCAAAAACGAACAAGTTTATTCGGGGCGAAAACGCGATGACATAATTGTCAAAACACGTGAGGGAAAACGAAGTTTAATCCGACGCGGCACGGACACGATACGCAGCGAGAACGGCGGCCAAGCGACTGAATCCAATTTCCAAGTTACAGACGCACACACACTACAATGCGCAGGCGGGCGGGCGGGGGGCGGGGAAGGGGGGGGGCTCAGGGAGCGCACTGCACTAGCCTGACCTGGCCCCCACCACCCGGTTTATCTCATTCCATCCGTCCACAATATCGGTTATACGGCCCGAGTTGCCGAGTTTCCCGCTTGACACACTCGCACTCACACAACAATCATTTAAAGGCATTATGATAAACCATCACAACAAGGAGTACGTCTCTCTTGTTCCCGTCCCCTAGCGCACCCCTTCGCGGCGTTGCCACGTCTCCCCGCGACGCACCGCCACCTCCGCCGCTCGCTCGTGCTATCCTCAATCTCATCACTTGTTTCGCGTCGCCTCTTCTCAGCCACTCGTGGAATCCCTCGGCCTCATGCAAGATCGCCCTCAGTTCTGCCGTGCTAAGGAAGAACGCCGTATGAACATTCGAGAGTTGCCAAATTTCATTCAATTACATGTTTGTTTTTGAGGAAAGTTATGAATATTTTTCCTTGAAATTTTCAGGGACTCTAGGTAAAATTGCGGACAAAATTATCTGAAAAATCGGTAGGAAAATATTCATAAGGATACCAGGAAACTCACGTTTTATCAAAGGAAATTTGGCAACGGCTGAAAATTCATACGGCGTTTTTCCTTAGCACGGCAGAGTTGCCCTTCTTGTGTATATGTACAGTCCGAGTGCCGTACTCACTCGCTTCCGCCCGGAAAAAGCCCCCCAAATAAAGAGCTTTTCCTCGAATAAACGCCCATACGGCGCGCAGGAGCTCATGTGGCCTAGAGTCCCCTTTTACTGACAGTAAAGGCAATGTGAATCCATTTCTGAATAGTTCTTGTATTTTCGGCCTTCATAGTGTCGCAAACGGGAAGAAAGATTACAGTTTCATCGATTGCGAAGATTATAAACTGGAATGGGATGGACCGGGGAATAGGAGGTACGGCAAGGAACAAATGAAATGAGAGTGGGATCGGAGACAGGAATTCGGAAATGAGTTGATCAAAGATTACAGCAAACGTTCGATGTGTGTAATCTTTATTCCCGTTTGTGACATCCACGAGTCGCGTTGTCTCAACTCTGTCTAGAAAGGGACTCTAATGTGGCCTTTGAAGCACTATTGCCAATAAGACAAACGGATCAAACGTGAGTCCAAATTCGGGGATGGTTAATGCCACCCATTTTGCCTAAAAAGAGACACCTCAACGCGCGTTGATGACGGCGCAGAGATACAACTATTCGTGCTCGATGGATGTCCGTGTTACGTCTGCGAAATTGAAGGCGCTATGGGCCGAGGCATGAACGCGTAATGCTCCGCTGTATGTTGCCACTCAGATTCGGGGGAAAAGTTAAAAAACGAGGCCCGAATACGTCTTCCCTATATGTGACTGTGTTTCTCACGTACCCTTGATGCATTCCTGCGAATAAGACAAACGGAACCAACACAACACCGAAATAGAGCAAGGAAATTGACTTGCACTGGTGACGGCGCAGAGATACAACTATTCGGGCTTGATGGATGTCCGTGTTGCGTCTGCGTAATTGAAGGCGCGATACCACGTGGCGTGAACTCGCATTGCGCGTTGGTGACGGCGCAGAGATACAACTATTCGTACTCGATGGATGTCCATGTTGCGTCTGCGAAATTGAAGGCGCTATGAGGCGAGGCGTTACCTCGCAACCTCGCACTGCTGCTGTATGCTGTCGCTCCGATTCGGGTAAAAAACGAGGCCCGATTATGTCTTTCCTATTTTCGGCTGTGTTGCTCATGTAGCCCTTGAAGCATCAGCACAAATGAGATGAACAGAAACTGACACAAAATGGAAATAGAGGAAGGGAAAGGACGCGCGTTGATGACGGTGTAGAGATACAAATATTCGTACGTAATGGATATCCGTGTTGCATCTGCAAAATTAAGGGCGCTATGGTGGTAGGTTTATGACAACTTGTCACTTCTCAGGTGAAAGAATGTAAGTAAATTCCATCGGTGCAAAATTTCCACTCGTAAATTCGAACTTTATAGGGAAACCGTCAGGAATTTCTAACTGAAAATCTCAATGTTTTCTTCCTGTTACCGCGAGAAGGATCAGCAAAATTTTTGAAAGAAATTGTGTAGTCGCAGTTTTGTTAAAATTTGAATTGTTTGAGTCAGTTTCTTGTTCTCTTCCTGATTGAAGAGCGTCAAATTTAAGAACATATCTGCTGAAATCATGGTGCTTCTTTCTCATCTCTCAAAAAAATGCAACACAAGCAGACATTGGCAACGTTGCTATCGGAGATACGCATTGTTTTACTCGATACTCGAGCACCTTAGCGTTTCGATCGGATATTAACATAGTTGAAAAACAAGAGAGGTAATATTTAGAAGTTGAAAATATTTGTCAAAACGAGGTACGGCGTGAAATCCCCATGACGGATGGATGAGTCGACAAACTTTGAAGAGAGATGTTTGGCGAGCGCAGAACTGCCGTGTTACGGAAGAGAAGCATGAGTAGAGTTCTGTAAGAGCCACGATTAGCCCATGCTTTAATGTGTGACGAGGCTCATCCCGGCTTGTACTTCGGGTTCTTTTGCGTAAGACGGCGGAGAACCGGAAGGAGTGCGAGCGTTGAGGAGGTGACGAACGAGAGGCATGAGTTAATTAGAGTAGACTCGAGACACTGGACGCAACTGAGTCGAGGAGCCCAATTGTGAAGCGTTTAGAGGCGAGATCATTAACAGATAAGCTGACTACATCATCTGTAACCGAGCTAACCGGGACCCATCTCTTCCCAGTTTTCAGCCGACTCCAACTGTCGACTTTTTCGTCATTGGCGAGACGACCCGGGTCAAGGAAGGGGGCCCTTTAACTCAAGGCCCTATCGCAATTTCCACGTGAGCCATGTGCTCCCTATAACTTCGTGCTTTCTAAGGCTCATGTGGAAATAGACGCACGCCCTAACGTCACATGGACGACGATACGAGGGGGCGAGCTTGCGATGCACGTTGCTGTTATCCTTGAAATTCGTGTAGACATTTCTTATTTTAGAGAGTTATAAGACATCTTGGGTCCTAGTGTCGCAAACATTCAGAAAGATGAGGACCTTCCCGACCAGATAGCTTATACTCATGTCATGAGTGGGTACCTGGGTACCATGGGTACCGTGACACACTATTTCGAATACACATAACACGCTAGTCTCGTTAGGAAAAGTGAAGAATTTACCCTGAAAATTTCGCAGAATAGGTCAGTATACTGTCACAGACACGCTAGAGCACTGTAGAATTATTCTTACTTCTGTGAAGATTTCTATCTATTTTCAATATTTTTAGTATATAAATTATTTTTTGAATGTGAATAAACTTGTATGTATGTATGAGCCGCTTTTACGGCGCGCTAGGGCGCTCTGCGACGCCTATTCTCCACAGGAATCTGTCATGGTAGAGATCCTCCGGAAGGTGGCATCTCGCCATCTCTTCATGGATGCCCTCTACCCACCGTTTGGCTGGACGCCCTCTCCGTCGCCTACCTGGGGGGACCCACAGGTAGTTATGTGAATAAACTTCTCTCCTTAAAATTAACGAGCATTTATTTACTTTATTTACTGTATCTTTATTCTAACCTTATTAATTTTCATGATATTACAAATAGTTTTTCTGGTGATATGTGGGCGAGGGAGGAGGAGGGGAGGGTTGCATTAATGGAACCCGGACCTTAGAATTAGTACCAGGGTCCGAGATGGGATGTGACAGGCCTGTTCATGCCGCAATTGACTCAAACTCCATAAAATTGCTCTAAGATTTTGAAATTTTTCTGGGGAGCCTCCCAGAGTCGGAAAGGGGTTCCGACTTTTTCGACACGTGGGATCTGTTTTTGCCACTATCAAAATGAGGAAACTCTCTTGTTTACTCGAAGCTTGCCATTCGTCCCGCAATGCAGCGTTAAGTTTGATGGCTTGGCAGAAAACAAGAGTTGGAAAAGTCGATTAATCTGTGGCAGTAGTAGTGAAAGTATGTTCAGAAATTGACCTGTGAGGAGATGAAAGCCCCCAGTAAACTACACCGGCTCCCGACGCACTCAGTGAATTTGCAACAGCTTGGTCACGAATTAAATCACCATTGATCTAATTCAAATTGGCCTCTAAAACTTTCTTGAAACTAGCGAGGAATTTAAAGTTATGTTGATCTCATTGGTTGAGTCTTCATAATTTTTGCATTAGTTAAATCAGGGCAACGGAGTTGTGAAGGAGTTCAATGCCAATGAAAGCAGTATTCAGCCATCAGCCTTTAGGGTGAATTTATAAATGGACGTATTCATGTTAAAAGGATCCATGTAGCACGCAAAACCTAATTATGAGGGGCTCGGAGGACAAGACGTAGAAGTGCAGTTTTTGAACAATTTGAGATATTAATGATATCAAGTAAATCTAGTCTTAATGCGTATTTTGTGAAAAATTCGCTCGCAAATTCCAATTTTAAGCATCAAAAAGTCAGTTTGAACTTTCTCTCGCTACAAGGATCCATGTATTTCGAAATTGCGAACACGTATTTCTCGGAATAGCAAAAAACTCCTTCTTTATTCTGTTATTAATATTTTAGGTTTAATCCCTTACGTTTTCTCTTATTCTGCACTTTTTTTTTCTTTTTAAATAGAAATATATTTCATAAACATTATCAAAGTAGCAAATTTCCTCTGGAACACACTAACTATGAAGTATCGCAACGTAGTGGCGATCTGTAGATGAGTAACATTTTTGAGTCAGGCAACAAGAGAGTTGCGGGCTTAGGATTCGTCGGTGGCGTCAAGGTCAAGATCTCAAAGTGGTATGAGGAAGGGCAGACGGGGTGGATAGAGAAAAAACTGTCAAAATTCAACAAGCCGACGCAAGCAATACAACCCCTGGTGCTCCGTTTCCCACCGAAAACAATTCTTTTGTTGCGGTAAAGGAGAGGGTCAATCAGGAGGCGAGCGACTTC